CTGTAGAGCGCTCATCATCAGAACATGAAGGTACAAGCAAACACTTATGTTCTGATGCAGCTGGTCTTGAGCAGGGCCTAAGGACTTTCTACCACACGTTCCCAGAGACACCTCTGCAGCTGAGCACAACTCAAAATTAGCAACAGCCTCCCATGTTCTGGCGTGAAAGATCACATACCTAAGTTGTTAAAGCACTCCTCTGACCACTATGTCCAATGAACAGGTAGACTAGAGGCTTTCTCAGACTTTCCCACCAGGATGTTTAAGAAATACACTTTTTCTCATTGTATCACAACAGAGTACATTTAATCTCTCTCTTAGTGGCAGTCAGGATGGTCCCTGAGTTAGTTACTATTGGTCTGTCTTGCTTAGTATAGGAAGCTAATCAGTTTCACCAAATTGTCTAGATCTACTCTTCCATTATAGATTACAAAATGGTGATATACTTTTTCTTTTTTTTTAAACAGGGTTGCAGACTTGAATGATACATATATTTTCATCATTTTTCTATTTTGCTGGTTGGAGTTCTACTTTTGGGAATTAATTCTTCTCATATACAAGTTACCTTAAAAACAAAGTCCACTCATGAAATTCGTCTTAATATTGAAGTTCATTCCATCTATCTACTGTAAAAAAAGAGGTAAAATATCCAAATGGCCTCATTCCAATTGCTGATTCACTGAAACATGCTGAGTCGACAAAAAGCTGGTATTTCAAGTATGACAACTGCTGAGTAAGAGGTTTACACCTTTACTCTATGAAGCAGCCCCCGGGCCAACAGGCATGGCCAAGACCGCTGTCCTACATTCCAGGCTAGGATCTGTTACTAATTAAAGGTTAAGATTCATTCTTAATCTTTAATTAAGATTAAGTTTGCCAAACTTGTCTGATCACAGGAAATTAACTGAGAGACATGTAAATCATATTGAATCCTGGGGAATAATTGGTTCTCAAACCTAATAAGCCAATATCTTTGGAGTTGGGCCCTGGAAACAAGTTTGGAAAATTCACTCTGAGAGAATATCAGCTAACACAGTTGAATAGAATATCCCCCAAGAAATACACTTTGCAGCCTCCAACTTCCTATTTTATCTTGCAGTCACTGGGCATATATATAGCAGTAAATGTGGCCTGCTGCCAGGTGACAGCGGCGGCGGCGGCGGCGGCGGCGGCGGCGGCGGCGGCGGCGGCGGCGGCGGCGGCGGCGGCGGCGGCGGCGGCTCCTCACGCCTTTAATCCCAGCACTTGGGAGGCAGAGCTAGGCGGATCTTTGTGAGTTCAAGGCCAGCCTGGGCTACAGAGCAAGATCCAGGACAGGCACCAAAACTACAGAGAAACTCTGTCTCAAAAAACAAAACAAAAATGTGACCTGAGGAAAATCCAATCCTAGGTCTTGAAACACCTTCATTACTAGGCATCCCACATACTGTTCTTTTCAGTTTGTTGATCCAGACATGGTACAGCTCCCGTACACAGAATACTTGGGCTGTTAATTCATTTCTTCCCCTGTAACCAGGAACTAAGTTCACAAGTGACGCCTAGGCATCATGAGTCACTTAAATCCTTTACTTGGTTTATCCAATACATTGATCCTTTTTTTTTCCAACCTGTCAAAGTTTTTCAGGGGAAAGTGTTGCTCTGATACCAGGGATTGAACTCAGGGCTTTCACGAACTGGCAATCATCCACTAATCTTCAGCCCTAGCCTTCTAATTTTTATTGATTTACATATTTAATTTTTGAGGCACACTGGACTTGAGACCTTTCTACAGCCCAGGCAGGCCTTGAATTCATAATCTTTCTGCTTCAGCATCTAAAGTAGACAAGAGGTCAGGCCCAGCCTCCAAACTTCTTGAAGACATTTTGTTTTCTCTATTTCCCTGTTATCCAAATCTGTTTAGAATGGCCCAATTTAACTCAGTAATTTACTCAACTAGCATTGTGCATTTTGACAGGTACTGAGCAGAGAGCACTAAAACATTAGTCACCCAATTCTTCCTTCAAAACATCCATTCATTTAAACTATTTTAGCATCTGTATTTACTATAAGTGATCTCTCTCTCTCTCCAAGATCTCACTCAGCTCCCTGGCCAAATTAATAATCACAGCAGATTAAATCTTCCTCTTTACTGGTGGCTGTGAGCCACTTGGTGTGGGAACTAGCTACTGAACTCAGGTCCTCTTTACTGGTGGCTGTGAGCCACTTGGTGTGGGAACTAGCAACTGAACTCAGGTCCTCTTTACTGGTGGCTGTGAGTCACTTGGTGTGGGAGCTAGCAACTGAACTCAGAGTAGCACGAGCTCTTCACTGCCAAGCCATCTCTCCAGGCCCCCAAAATCTGAATTTTAAAATACAACATCAACAAAGCAGCGCTGCCCCTTCCATTCAGAAACTGTTCCAAGAGGTCTGAAAACAAGCGTTGTTCAAGAGACGAAAGTCTATCCTCATCAACTCTAAATACAATCTCCTGGAAGAGCCCAAGCCAATCTCTGCAGCTCCTCCTAGGTCTAAACTGTCCTGAGTTATGATTGTGATGTAAATGTGCTGTCCTCCCGTCGTATACTGCCTTACACATTTAACCAGATGACTGAATGTCCAAGTTGCAGGAAGCCAGGAGAGGCAATGGAACCCAGGCCACAGTATCTCTGAATGACTCACTCCACTGGGCTGTGTCCTCCGCTCACTGGCAGAAGACTCCTAGCTGTTCCCTGCTGTTCCCCTTCGTTCCCTTCTGCTTTAGCTCAGGGCTTAGCATCTCCCATCTGACCTTCCGAATAGACCAGACTTCCTACGTTCAGGTTCCTGGTTTCAATTCACTCTCTAGTCATTTTAATAGAAGGCAAATCTTTACAATCCTGATGTGCCATTCTCTTCTTTTAACAGAGCTTAGGACTTAACTTCTGCCTCTCCTCTCACCAAGCAGCTGGTGGTTCTTGTGTCCCCCAGGGAGGGTCTTCCATCATCCATGGAGTCTTCATGGAGTACCCTCTGTGCCAAACCACCCTCTGTGTTGGGAATACAGAGGGGACAAAATAACACCTCTGCTCTGACGGAGTTCACAGTCAAGTATGGGAAACAGGCAAAATGTTTCACAGAAACCGTCAGAGACGGGTGAGCCGTGTGGAATAAGAGCAGGAAACAGGCCAGAAAGACCAGTTGAAGAAGTCCTGCCTCATTCGGTAATATCCGGGCGTAAACCTAACAAAGATGAGAAGCAGAGCCATGCTGAAAAGTAGAAAAAGAGAACCGTTGGGGACTGTAGCCTGGCACAAGCCAATTGATTATTGGCGAATTATTGCTGAGCTCATGGCCAAGTAATGATTCTGTGCCATTTACCTGGGGGCTCCTTCTGGGGGAAAACACAGACAGTACAGGGCACTGTGTTTCTCGGCTGAGACCGGCTCCTTCCAGGCCAGTGCGACTGTTCAACAGCCCCTCCCAGCCACACCCATCGAGCACCCGATTTTTGCATTTATGTTGCCTTATATTACAAGTATTTGTGTGCAGGTAATAGCTTCCTCAGATTCTTGAGTGTGGGGCATTTACCCACCACCCCCACAGTTCCCCAGAGTTTTCTTGAGTGGGAGCAGCAGGAAATATTAGATAGAAGGATTTATTGCGGAGAATCTTGCGGAGATAAACAGAAAATAAAGGATAGCCTCGAGAGAGCCTGGAACCTTTTCCAACGGGCCCTGACTATCTCTGCCCCAGGGTTTTTATAGAGATGCCAAGGGGTGGAGCAAAAGACCTCCTCCCCCAGCACAGCCAAGTGCAGACCATCTCAGACACCTGCACTCAGGCCTGTGGTCCTAATCATCCTTTATGCGGACCTGCTGGGTAAAGCCACGAGGAACCCGAGAACTGGCTCCCACGCTTGAGGATTTTTTTTTTTTTTTTTTTTTTTTTTGCTTTGTTTGTTTTGAGACAGGGTTTTTCTGTGTAGCTTTGGAGCCCGTCCTGGATCTCGCTCTGTAGACCAGGTTGGCCTCGAACTCACAGAGATCCACCTGCCTCTGCCTCCAGAGTGCTGGGATTAAAGGCGTGTGCCACTGCCGCTTGGCTTATATCAGACTTTTTAAAAAATATAGTATTCTGTTTGTCACACATCATTTAGTGCTAAGAATGGTCCCAATTGCACAATTGAATAACTTCTACTTAGATGAGATTAGCAAAATACTCAAAGGGGCAGCAACCTGCTCGCACTCCCACCAGAGACTTTAGGAGTGTAGGAAGAATACACCTCCCCCTCCAGGAAAGTCTATTAGGAGATGCCACAGTAAGCATTTTCTTAATTATCCTTTATAATGCTGTCCCGTGAGTCTCTGTAATTTTTGAAGGTTAGTCAACTTCTCAAGGGAATTTCTGAATCCTAAATAGATGCAGCTAGCTAGGGCTCGGGGAATGCGCATAGGGACTCAATGTTAACAGTAGGGGTGATTTCGGTGGCTGGTAAGGCCACACCCAGTCTTTATCCACTTTTCCTGTCCCCTCAAAGTGCTCCGCCCTTCATTAGTTAAGCTCTGGTAACTTTCTCTGCTCTCTTCAAAGAGCAAAGAACCGTAGAAAACATGACGGAGATTTAGAATTGTTTAAAGAAAAATCCTATTAACAACCCCTTTCCCCACTATCAAGAGTGCCAACAGTTAAAACAGAAGCCGAATAGTATGCCTTAGCAGCAATCTGCCGCCAAACCAGTGCGTGAACGAACAGCAGGATCACCGGATTTGCTAAGTCTTCTGTAGTATCCGCAAGAGCATAAACTCCCTTCTAGCTCACTAAGAAAGAACACCTCCAAGAGGAGGCTGGAAGATCTGGCTACCAAGACTTTAAAGGGTTTGGAAGGCAGCAGCAGGCTTTGGAGAGGTAAGGCTACCTCCCAAGTCACTCCAGTGGTTTGATGAGTTTTGGCTCCGGATGCCTGGCCACCACGTTCTCCACGTGCCCCATCAACTCCCTTCTACCCTCTTCACCTCCAGCCCGATCTGGGACAACTTCGTTACCTGCTCACAAAGTCTCGAGGTTTGGGCACGCTGTGCAGCCGAGGTGGCAGGGGTGCCAGCAAGGGTGCGGACAGCCGCGCCAGCAAGGAGCCGCGGATTCCACCTTCCCAGCAGCCCGCAGAGTCCTGCACGCGGCCGCGGCGCTCGGCCACCGCGCTCTGCGAGCCTAGGAGCCCCGCCCACCCCCGGCGAGGCCACGCCCCCGGCGAGGAGCTTTTTAGCCCTTGGCAGGCACCGTAGTCGGCCTCCAACTGGCTGGGCCTCGCTCTGGGCTCCGGTGGCGAGTGAGCTGCTCCCGCTGCCCGTGTGGGGGCGGTCCTGGGCTTCCCACGCATCACCCCCCGCCTCTGCAGTGGCACCCCGGAGCAGGGCAGCGTCGCCCCGCGTCTCGGCCCCACTGCAGCGGCCTGCGGGACTGCCTTGGTGCTGCGGCTGCAGGAGCTGCGGCTGCAGGAGCTGCGGCAGCCCGGGCTGCAGCCTTGGCGCTCTGCGGACCGGACGAGAGGGCGCGGGAGCAGGCGATCTGGGCAGCGTCGCCGCGTCCTATCCGCGCTCCCTTCCGCATCCCCGCCCCTCGTTCGCGCCTCCTCCGGGGCTGAGAGTGAGGTACGCCGCCCGCCGCACACTGCGGCAGCGCCGGGTCCGGGACTGCCCGTGGGAGGCACACCCACCTCTCCCGGCCGCACCCCTGCGCAGCAGCATGTCCGCGCTCGAGTGGTACGCCCACAAGTCTCTGGGCGATGGCATCTTCTGGATTCAAGAACGCTTCTACGAGTCGGGCAACCGCGCCAACATCTGGCTGGTGCGCGGCTCGGAGCAGGACGTGGTGATCGACACGGGCCTGGGGCTGCGCAGCCTCCCGGAGTACCTCTACTCCTCCGGCCTCCTGCAGGACTGCGGGGCGAAGGAGGATGCGGGGCGCCGGCCGCTGCTGGCCGTGGCCACCCACGTGCACTTCGATCACTCGGGCGGCCTCTACCAGTTCGACCAGGTGGCTGTGCACCGCGCCGAGGCCGAGGCCCTGGCTCGCGGGGACAACTTTGAGACCGTGACCTGGCTCTCTGACAGCGAGGTGGTGCGGGCCCCCAGCCCCGGCTGGAGGGCCAGGCAGTTCCGAGTGCCGGCAGTGCAACCCACCCTCATTCTGCAGGATGGTAATGGGCCCCCGCGGGCGCGCGCCGTCGCTGAGGGAGGGCCTTGGGGAGCGTGTGCCGCATGTTGTAGACCTCCTGTGGCTACCTTGGCACTGTTGGTGTACAGCGCGGGAACAGTGTGTCTCACCCTTTGCTGGGTGAACGCCGGTTTGTGCAGAGCCAAGGCCCTGGCAGCCTTCTCTGCCAGGAGTCGCGCTCTGCAACTGTGTGGCTGGCACCACCCCCATCAATTCTCTGTGTCCGCTACAGTAGTAACACTGCGGAGACTTGTGACTGGAGATTTCCCTGTCTTCCCCAAGCACGGGTCGAACATCTCCAGCTTTTGTAACGAGTAGGCTTTTAAGGAATGGCACCTTGTGAACGGAGTGTTAATGTTCTGTGCTTCGAAAACTGCTGCTTCATGGTGCGTGCTCGCCTCGGAGTGCCTATGAGTCCCACCTGTAGGCTTAGAAAGCTAGAGAGCCGTGGTTCGAATCATTTCACCCATCCGTACCTTTCCGATGGGTTTGTTTCCCTATTATTGTGCCACAAGAAGAAAGAGAAGCTTGATAGTGAACACAGACGTAGAAGAGCAGGTTATTACAAATGTCTGGTCTGCGTGAGATCAAGGCCTACGAAAGATCAATAAGGCAGTCGTTTCCAGTGGATCCAGTATGTGCTAATCAGACTTCATTCTCTTGGTCCGATGAAATTGATAGAACAGAGCAAAATAAAGCAGGCCCCAGCCCCCTTCTCTCCGTGCAGGAACTGCAGTAATTGGACCAATTAGTGACAGCGACAGTACTTGGCATATTAATTTCATATTCTCTTTGTAGGATTTATTTTTAAATTTTATCCACATAACACTTGTGAAGTGAGGCCAGAGACCCCCGATTAAATTGTCTCGCCTCGAGTCCATGGAACAGAATCATGATCCAAGCTGGATCCTGACCCAAGGCATGGCAGAGGAAAGCAAACAGAACACACATAAATCCTACTCATGAGATATGATAATTGTGAGTAGATTATGCAAGTCACTTTTTCAGTGTTAATCATTTTAATTGCCTACACACTCCTCTGTAATGTTAAAAAAATCCAGTTTCATTATAATGGTTCTTACTAAGAGCTAACAATATGTAAATAATAAAATACTTTACAGAAATGCATTTATCCCAAGGGATATAATATATGATATTAAAAAGCATGAAATTCTATTCTTTTACACCCAACTAATAGGTCCCTTTATTAAAGTTGTTTTTTTTTTTTTTTTTTTTTTTTTTTTTTTTTTTTTTGTGGTTTTTGGTTTTTCGAGACAGGGTTTCTCTGTGTAGCTTTGCGCCTTTCCTGGGACTCACTTGATAGCCCAGGCTGGCCTCGAACTCACAGAGATCCGCCTGTCTCTGCCTCCCGAGTGCTGGGATTAAAGGCGTGCGCCACCATAAGTCTAAAGATTTCTTTTTTAAAAACTGCTTTAGAGGGGAGCCTACTTTGACAGTTTGGGATTTAAAATATACATTTACATTAGATAATTTTTATTACTATTTTTCATCTTAAAAATGATGGTTTCAGGGGTAAATTTTCCAAGCACTTGACGGGTAGTCAAAGTAAACTCTGGCACCCAACCTAAAAGCTGGCACCCAACATTAGCTGAGTGTGGTAGCACATACCTTTAATCCCAGCACTTGAGAAACAGAGGCAGGCAGATCTCTGTGAGTTTGAGGATAGCCTGTTCTACATAGTGAGTTCCAGAGAGAAAAAAAAGAAAATAATTTGAATGGTAAGTGGCACAAGCCTATAATCTCAGCACTTAGGAGGCTGAGGCAGGAGGTCAGGAATTCAAAGCCACCAAAGAATTTTAAATTAAAAATACCCTCTTCCTACACAGAGGAAATGGGTCTCAAAAAAAAAAAAACCAAAGATTTTACACTAATATTAAAATATATTAAATTGTTTAAAAGAGAAATACTTTATTTGTTTACTTTTTATTATTGCCAGCATTAGGAAGTCAAGGGTAAAAGAAGAACAGTGGGGAACCAATGAGATGGCTCGATAGGTAAAAACACTTCCTGCCACGCCTGCCAACCTGGGTTTGATCCCTGGGTCCCCCATGGTAGAGGAAAGAGCCCTACTCCAGCAGGTAGACAGCCACATACACAGCTTGAGACATAAGCTCAGTGAAGACTGGTAGGGTTGTTGTTCCATCAAAGAGAGGCTGGCTGAATATCCTGCCTTGATCAACTAGACTGGTTAGACCCTGGGATTATAACTGGTGGTTTCCCAAATCCCAGTTGGTGGTAATCCTGACATTTTTGGAGCTGGAAAAGTACTGTAAACTCCTGGTGTGTGGTGCTTTGAGCCTTATTTTGAGGGTGACAAGATGGCATTATGGAAAGCTGCTTCTCATTAAGACATGGATGCCTCCTCCCCCTCGAGCAGCATCTGATCTCTCATCTCAGGAATATTAATTTCCTGTCTTTTGAAGGATGTGGGCTGCTAACTGGGTATTAACACAGTCCAGATGTCTGGAAGGAGATGTAAGATATTTGTATTAAAAATTCATATATATTTGCACACACACACACTCATGCAGCTGTAACAGAACAGCTCTAGTTAGAGTACAAGTGGGCAAAAATCATTTACTACATTTCGTTAAGTGAATTGATGATTTGCTGTCGTGGAGAAGCATAAATCTGCACTGTATCTCTAACATAAAAGCTACCTTCTAAATGAAGGTCAAAGAGGTTAGCTATCTCATCTAGTGCATTAGGCTTGACAGAAAACAATTCATGTACTAACAGGGAAGTAGTATCTTTCTGTAAGATGAGGACAATAGACCTGAGATAGAGCCCAGGCCTTTTAACGAGAACATATCACTGTCTGTTTTTTACAATATTCCAGTGATTCAATTTCAAGTGATTTTTCCTTTTGTCCCTTTGTCCTCCTTATCCCTATCTAAACTGTTTGCTTAAAGTCACCAAGATAAATTACCTCAGAGTAGTGGTTTCAGGTGGACTTACATCATTTATCAAAGTTAAAAACAAAAACTGCATCTACCAGAACAGGATGAACAGACATGTAATTTGTACCCCTCCTGAGACCTCCTGGAACTGTGGGTGTCTCTGTGACCACCAAGGCCAGCAGAATGTCCATCTGGGAGAGATAAGGCAGTTCCATTTAACACGACTCAGTAGCCAGTGTTGGTTCAAACTTCCGGAGTCTGAAGTTCTAGTAGTTTACTTTAGGCATGTTAAGCACAATTTGGTGAAAAGTTTCCTGGTGATAATTAATTCAATGCCATGTGCACAATGAAGCTTAAGAAATGACTACATTGAAACTCTTGTAAAGTACAAGTGGCATTTTCCTTAAGGATCCGTTCTGGGGATTAACAGAGGAAACAGGCTGAAGATAAACAAGCTCGTGATGGGGGCGGGTGGCACTATAGGTTGAGACCACCAAGACGAAGAGGAGGGTCTGGGGAGCCACTGTGACCACACAGATAACACAGAGGGCACCAGGCTGTTAACCACACCTGTTCCCGGCCTCCTGGGCAGAAGACAGGTTACATGTCCCTCTCTTTGAAGGGACAACTGTGTATTTAACATTCCTGCAGGGATCTACATGCCTCCTACATGGAACTAGCATGACCATGAGGAGACTGTGACGTGAAGTATAAATCTAAACTGCGTAAGGGTGGTGGAAATTAGATGTAACTGGGTGAACAGTTGTGTCTCAAGAGCCAATTCAGTTCACATCGGTAATGCCACTAACACAGGTGAAACAGGTTGTAAGCATTTAAGAAGTTCTTAAGACCATAGAGCCCTTCTGAAAGGAGTGCCTTTCCCCCATTCAGTTAGCTTATTCTCCAGGGATAGAAAATAAAGGGTTTTCTTAACTGGGGAGTGCTCAGTACAGTTGAGCTCAGGGATTCTGCATGGCGAACAGCAGGGAATGAGTGTGTGAGACTGTGCAGTGCACATTTCTTACTAGATACTCAGGAATGAGAGCCAAGCCCCCTAGTTCCCCACCTGGGGTAGGAAACTAGAGAATTATAATCTGGGACCTCTGACCCCTTGAGAACAGACTAAAGATGCCAGTATGGAGACTATCTGCCACCCCTGGCCAGATCTCTCCACTGTGAAGCCTGCTTCCGGAGGCCCTATGCAAGTGCTTCAAGTGTCATTTTCCTTTCTGCTCTTAAACATGCAGCCAAGATTTTTGCTGGAGATCAACTATGCTGAATAGAAACTGAAATTATGACCCTGGTTTCCCCATCCCAGTCAATGGCAAATCCTCATGTTTTGGGAGCTGGAAAAGTAATGTAAAGTATTGGTGTGTGGTGCTTTAAGCCATTGGAAGGTGTGAAAAGAAAGCTGGACCAAATACTTTGAAGGTGATAGGAAAGATACTTTTCATTAAGAGATGGGTATCTCAAGCAGAATCTTTCTGGCAAGGTTTCTGTCCAAAGATGCTTACACAAGATCAAATATTTTAACATTTAGCATAAATCAAGTTGGAAGTTGAGGTGGAGTTATCATCAACATTGTCTGAAAATAAGCAAAGCTGCTAGAGAGGTTTTCTCGAGGCAACAAGGATGGTTTTTAAAGATGAATGACAGAATATCATCCACAAGGAGTTTCAGGAATTTAGACTATAACAGTTCACTGTGTAGATGATGAGGATACAGATACAAAAAGCAGATAGATAAAATGGAACCTACGGGGGGGGGGGGGGGGCGGGGAGAGGACTAGGTAAGTTGGGAGCAGTTTGAAAGGCCAGCACTGGGGTGATAGGTGCAGGACATACAGATGAGGTAGCAGTGAGTGCAGAAGCAACCCAAAAACATATCTAAGAACCCACAAGTATAAGATGTGCATTCAGACAGAAAGACCCCCACAGGATTCCCAGCTCAGGGATGAAAACACATCCTCGTCAAGTACATAGTAAAGAAATCGTAACGTGGGGATCAAAGAAGACCCGACAGGTCAACAAGGGTCAAATATTGGGATCAGAGCCGGATTAGA